GCAGGACGTATTGATTGCTCTGGGCATGCACACCTCTACTCCAAGGCAAAGTCAGAGGTGTTCCAGCTGGATGTGACCTATCCAGCCAGGCAGAGAGCTGGGGAGGGAATGAGGCAAAGGAAGCGGCTGGGTTTGCTTCACACCCTGCTCTGGGGGCTCAGAAAGGTCACCGGGGTGTTGGGGGAGTGGCTGGGTGAGTGCCACCTCAAGGGCTGGGATGAACGGGGCCTCTGGAATGGCTTAGTGCAGCCCCCTCCTCACAGCAGGGTCTGGACTCGTTAGAACAGCAATTAGAACAGCAATTAGAACAGCAATTAGAACAGCAGACAGAGCCTCTAGGACAGCCCAGGACCACATCCACTTGGACGCTGAAGTCCTCCAGGGATGGAAACTCCACCATTCCTGTGTTTGAGCACCTCACAGCAAGGAAGCTTTTCCCAAGGTTTAAATGGAATTTCCCGTCTTCCAGCTTGTTCCCTTTGGTCCTTGTGCTCTCTCAGGGCAGCAGACGAGGATCAGGATTTGTTCTCTTCCCCCCCACGAGGTCCTTGGACACAGGGATGGGATCCCTGAGCCCTCTCGAGGCTCCTGCCAGATGCTCCAATCCCATAAACTTCTTTATGGCCTTGGGACTTGTTTGGTGTCTGATGAACAGAACCTTGGAATATTTTAGGTTGCTTTCAGGGAAGTTATTTAACTTCCCAGTTTACAGATATCTTCTCCTTTTAAAGAAAAAAAAAGTATTAAAAAATTAATGGTTAAAAACAAAAAATAAAAAAGAATTTCTAGATCCAGTGGAGGGGAGGTGGAAGGCTTGAGCAGTGTTCATGTGGGGATGTGAGATCAGAGGAAGGATCTGAAACTTTGGTCATGGAGGAAAATCTTTGCCACCAACCATTTAACTCAGATCCCAAGGAATTCAGTCTTTGAGGATCCCACTTAAATTCATGCCCAGGACAGCTGACACTTAAAGGAAAAAAAAAATGGGAAAAAAAAATGCCATTAGTCAATTAGATACTTGTGACATTTCTTCCAAACTTGCCATAAACTTTTGGTTAACCTTTTGGTCATTATAAAGAGCTAATTTTGCCAAAACAGCAAATTTTCCCCGTGAAACCAATAATTAGAGCTGGTGATGTGTTTTGTTATCACTTTGAACAGTATCCACACATATTTTACTGGAGTAATTTCACCCTATCCATTAAAAAAAAAAAAAAAAAAAAGGTTGCAAGATTGGGTTTTATTTTTCTCAAAGGTTATCTGGGTTTTTCTTCCATGGAGGAGCCAAATGCCCTAAAGACAGCCTGGATTGCTTCTCCAATTACAGCTGCTTTTCTAACTAATAGTTTTTAGATATTCCCTTTTAATGCTTTTTATGCCTCTTGAAAATGCCAGCAAAATTGCTCATAAATCATTGTCCTTTCCTTTAGCTCTCCTGGATTAATATAAATTCGCTTTAATTACCATTCTGGTTGGAGTAAGTGCCTTGGATCCTGCCTGGGTTTGGGCTGGGTAGTTCAGGGCAGCTCATTAAAGAGCTGGGGTTAGGGTTGGAGTCATTAAAGGGGAAGGAGATCCTGGGAAAGGGATTTATCTGCTGGGGGAAATTCCAGCTTGCCTTGAGGAGCTTTATTTTTAACTGGATGCATTTCTGAATGGTTTTCTTCGAATATTTTCTCCTTAGAAAAATAAAAATATATCCTCGGATATTTTCTCCTTCTCACTGCTGTTGGCTTTTGTCCACAAAGCTTTGAAACAAGTGGGTGTAAATTAATGGTGGTGGTAACTCCCCCGGGCCCTCCCAGAGGTGTGGCAGTGACTGTGTTGTTCTGAACACATTACCTTCACGTGGAAATCAGCATTTGCTGGTGGGAAGAGCTCAGGTTGCTGTTTGCAGCAGTGTTTGGTGTTACTGATCCTCTGGGTTTTTTGGCCACTTGTTATTTATGGGAGGATTCCCAAGCTCCATCCCTGCACTAAGGGCTCCTCAGGCACCCTGGATATCCACTGGAGTATAAATGCCATCATTTTATATCAATGCTGTGCCAGAACAAACACGGTCAGCTGTGCTGAAATGACAAAAATGCTGATTTATATCCCTGGGGAGTGGAGTCCAAACGGAGCCCAGAGGTGAGAACAGAGGTGTAACCTCCTGTGCAGCCCCCTCCACTGCCTCTTTAAGGAAACATCCATTTCTTCTGCTAAATACCAAGGGGAAAAGGCCTCTGTGTGCTCCATTTTTCTCCGCTGACATTTTGATGTGATTAAATTCATGGTGCTGCAGAGAAATATTGCCCAGCAAACCAGGAAAGAGTGGGAAGTTCTCCCAAAGCCAGCGAGTTCATCACAGCTCCACTTCAGCAGAATTAGTCAAACACGTTTCCCTCTCATCTGTAAATTACTTTTTCCTCTGCACGGGGCACTTCTGTTAAATACTGAGTATCTTTTTTTATTATTTGGCACAGCAACAAGCAAAAATAACCCTGACACTTAGGACAGCCCTGGAAGTCTGATGCAGGCGTGTCACAAGCTAAGAAACAGTCATTTGATTTCTGTAGCCAATTGTTTCTGGGCTATTGATGAGTATTCAGGAGGTTAATGTGATATTTATGGTGATTTTATTTTTTTTTTTTTTAAGGAAAAATATTGTGGTGACCTGTGTCCTTTTGCATGTCTCAGTTTCCTGAGTTACTTCTTAAGTAACACCTAGGAAGGGTTACTTCTGGCATTTGAGCAGGCACTAAACTATTTTCTTCTCAATTCTATCACTGTGGAAAAGCACCTCAGTGAAAGATCGTTTCTACTGGTCTGAGAGAATGGGCAATGCCATGGCTTTTTTTTTTTTTTTTTTTTTTTTTTGAGCTCTTTTAAAATTTTTCTGACATTCAGAATCACCAGAGGGAAGTTGTGGGCAAAGAACTGACTCACTCATTTTGTACTTGAAGCCACCTCAAGAAGAAAACCACCTTCCAACTAACCCCATTAATTTATCTTGGGCTGCCTGCTGACCTGGTTCTGCTCTGTTCTTCCCCTTTTTTTCCTTTCTTTGAAGGTGACGTGAATGGCTCTGTGTTGGCACAGCTGTGTGTGGCCCCAGAGCTGCAAGGTTTGATTTTCAAAGCATTCCTTGTTTCCCAGAAATGTTTAAAGCAGTGGCTAGGATTGGTTATAGGATCATGGGGTGCTGTGGGTTGGAAGGAACCTTAAACCCATCTCGTTCCAGCCCCTGCCATAGGCAGGGACACCTTCCACCAGCTCAGGGTGTTACTTGTTATTGATTTAAAAGTCATTTTCAGGGTCACAAAGTGAGAAAATGAGCTGGAAATACGATCCAAGACTTTTTGTGCTCGTAAACACCCTGCCCTCCGTGTGAAAATGTAGTGGGAACGCACAGGGAGGTTAAACAGGACCTGTGAAAGTCAAGAACAAAACAATTCCTGTGTGTTGAGCTGGTCACCCTGAGGAACTCCACGGCCCCCTGGCGCTGTGCTGGGCAGAAATCTCCTCTCCCTTCACCTTTGCTCCTGCAGTGTGAGGGGCATGTGTGGCTCAGGAGAGGTGGGACGCTCCGTGTTTGAGCTCTCTCCTTTGGTGACATTGGCAGAAGTCACCAAGCCAGTTAGTTTTTCAGTGCATCCCATAAAATGCAAAGTGTGTTTGATGAGAAACCACTTACCCCGTTCTTTACAGCGTGCAGACAGAGTTATGAGCTTGGCCAGCAGCTTCCTTGATGAAAGAATAAAGTAGATTTTTTTTTTCCTTCCACGCTTCAAAATGGGCAGAATAAAAATTTTAATTACTTGTTTGTCTATAAATAATTCAGAGGCGCTATAGGTTGTGCTCATACACATGCACACATGAGAGAGATGCAGATCTTGTGCTAAAAAATGGCTTCAGCCTCTCACAGGTAGTAAATTCTGCATGGATTTATGGCCAGCAGTAGCAGTGCCCAGGCACAGAGAAATTGTGTGTCAAGGTGATCAGCAAAGGGCAGCAAGAAGAGGATTTTCCCTCCTGGAAGCCACCTCTCTGCCTCTCTCTCTCCCTAGGGAGTTTTTCCTACAAAGAGGAAAAACTTACGGACAGAAATAAGAATTACCTTATGGACAGAAATAAAAATTATAACCTCATCAGCCTAAAGAGCTGCTGCCACGTCAGACCCCTCCTTGTTCCTGCAGCCATTCCTCTTCTTCATCCTCATCACCCTGTGCTCCTTAATCTCTCAGCAGCTCTTCTTTCCCCAGGGCTTGCTGCATTTTTAGGGCTGTCCTGTGCTCTGTGTTTCTGTTTCTGTCCCTGTCCCCTCTCTTGGGAGTTGACAGGACAGGGAATTCTTGCCATGAGCCTTTGTGGGGTGCAGGTGATGAATATCAAGTGAAACCAGCAGCTTTACAGAAAATTAAGATGTTAAAAATGTTTCTTTCAGGTCATTTTGTGATGCTGTCTCCTGGCAGATGCACCAGTTTAAAAATAATTTTGAAATAACAAGTTCTTGGCCCTGCTGATGCTCTTGTTTTGGGGCTTTTTTTATTAATATTTTCCTTTTCAAATAAGGTTTACTAAGAAGAAAGCTCTCTCTTACCCTGGTTTATGACGCTTGCCCTTTCTCACAGTGCTTGTTTCAGGCTGGAGGCTTTGTAGCAGCACAGCTGATGGAGGAGCTGAGGCATGCAGGATTTATCAATATTAAAAATACCCTTCAGTCACATCAGTGCCTTTTTGGTCAAGGAAAAAGCCTTCATTATTTCCTAAAACTGGCCAGACCCTGCACGTCTCCCTCCAGGTGCCAGGCTGCCTTGACTGAGGATTATTTTTCTTTTCTCATGCATTATCTTCTGCAATGAGCTGAATGAGAAGGGATCTGCCATAAGGAAAAAGACACCTGAAGTCAGATCCAAAAAAGAAAATGGGCTCTGGGGTGTGGAAGACCCCATTTATGTTGGATTAAATGTTCAGTTAAAGTCACTTAATGCTGTAAAATGTCTCCATTTCCACTGCAGCTCTGCCTTTGGAGCTCTTGCCCCAGCAAGGACTGACATCTGCCTGAGGGGCAGAGCCAGGGACGTGAGAGAGCTCAGGATGGATCATTACTGCCTAAGTAAGCATAAAATATCCGTGCATTTTCCCACAGCTCTGCTTTGGGAAAATAAAAACTGCCTGTTTCCCCCTGTTTACTGCCGTGGGCTCGTGGTAATCGCCGATTGCAGAGTCACTCATAAGAAAGTTAAAGCCTGAGTGGCGCCGTGGGATTAAAGCACACGTGGAAATTATTCTACGAGGGACCATTGCTGCAGCCCTGGGACGGGTTTGCATCCCTTGACTGACCAAACGTTGCTGCTTTATTGCCCGCCAAGATGGGAATTTGGAGACGTTTCCTGCATTTTCCTTTCCAAAAAGTAGCTTTTGTGGGGTGATAGCAAACAGTGGGGTGGGTGAGGGATGGACCCTCCCAGTGGCCTTTCCTGAGGGATGGAAGTGATGTTTTTTCCATCCCAGGCCAAGAACAGGTTTCATTTGTTTTTCCAACAGAAGGAGGGAGCTGGGAAGTGCTAAAAGTTGAGAGCTGGAAAGGTGAGTGTAAGGAGAATTATTTTAGGTATAACTGGATAAAATAGTTTATGTGTTGAATTTTTTTATTTTACAGGGAGATAACTTATTTTTATTTTCTTTTATTTTTTAACAAATTTTTTTTTTTTGTTAAAAAAATTGTTAAAAAATATTTTTTAACAATTTTTTTAACAAAAAAATTTAAAAATATTTTTAAATTTTTTTGTTAAAAAAATTTATTAAAAAATAAAAGAAAATAAAAAGAAGTTATCTCCCTATAAAGGTTTTTCCAACAGAAGGAGGGAGCTGGGAAGTGCTAAAAGTTGAGAGCTGGAAAGGTGAGTGTAAGGAGAATTATTTTAGGTATAACTGGATAAAATAGTTTATGTGTTGAATTTTTTTATTTTACAGGGAGATAACTTATTTTTATTTTCTTTTATTTTTTAACAAATTTTTTTTTTTTGTTAAAAAAATTGTTAAAAAATATTTTTTAACTTTTTTGTTTAAAATTTTGTTAAAACAAATTTTTTAATTTTTTTGTTTAAAAATCTGTTAAAAAATAATTTTTAATTTTTTTGTTAAAAAATCTGTTTAAAAATATTTTTAAATTTTTTTGTTAAAAAAATTTATTAAAAAATAAAAGAAAATAAAAAGAAGTTATCTCCCTATAAAGTAAAAAAATTCAACACATAAACTATTTTATCCAGTCGTACCTAAAAAAATTCTCCTTACAGGTGAGCAACTGGCAAAGAGCTAATTCCCATTCTTCTTTTTTTTAACAGCCACCCAGGCCCAAATTCATTGGCAGTGTTGTGCCAAGAGCTCACCTTGGAAATCACGGTGACACTTTATCTGCACCCTGGGAATGCAGGGAACCAGGTCGTGTAGCCCAGAGCCCTCCCGAGCAAATGCTGCACCAGATGAATTAAAGAATCAAATAAAAGAAAATTAAAGAGTTCCTCAGCTGGTTTATGTGCTGCTAATTGTGCAGATGTCAGCAGATGAGACTGAGTTTGTAGAACAACCCTCTTCAAACATCCCTGGGGTCAGATTTTGTGTTTGGGTGACCTTGGGGGTGTCGAAACTTCTGTTTTGGGAAAGTTTGGGGCAGATTTTGAAACATTTCAGTGGCAACGTCATCAGGCAGACACAAACATTCACCCTTTCCCTTCAACCTCTCTTCTGGGCTGGTTTTTATCAAGAGCTGTGGTCGTGTTCCTGTTGTGGGTGTGAGATTGCAGAATTCAGCGCCAGGGCCTGGAGAGCTGCCCTGCCCTGCCCTGAGCTCTCCCCAGGCTCTCCCTGAGAAAATTCCAGCCTCGAAAATTCCACCCGTCATTAAATCATGGCTTCCAGGCAGCTTACGCCTGTGTTTGACCCAGGTTTTTTGTTCTAAAAATCATATTCACCACTTAGATCTGAAGCACCTTCCCCGATGGCCTTTGGAATACTTGGGAAAAGCCATTAATTTCCAACAAGGATGGCAATTATGCTCATATGAGAGTAAAAGGGACTGTTTTGCTGCTTTGCTTTATTGGATGACTGAGCAATTCATTATTTGCGTAGGAATCTTATTTTCTGTTGCTGGCTGATCAGCCAGTCAAGACTGTAAATCTAATTAATTTGAATACATGAGATTGCAAGAAACAGTGTTTCTCTTTGGGTTCAGAAGTAAGAAATAATTATCCCACAAGAACTTCAGTGCTTTGGAACTCACTCCTTGGCAGCTCGAGCTCTAGGCAGGGTGGGAAGTCCAGGAAGAGATTGTGATGATTAATAATGAATTTCTTGCTTCTTGGATGGTATCAGGAGCTCAGCTCAGTTCGTTAGGAGAGGGCATCTGTCTCCCTGTCTAATTAGATGAGTAAAAGGCAAATATAAATAGGAGGAGGAGCCAATCCAGCTTCCTACAAGGCTCCCACTTTGCCAAAAGCTGCTGTTCCTCCCGCGGCTGCAGCTGGGGGTTCATCTGGTGCCTCTGGAAGTGCAGCCCCCCCAGCACAAACATGGAGCAGGGACACCTTCCTGCTGGGCCTGAAGCAGGTGAGGCTCCTCAGACAGGGGGATGGATGGGCAGAGGTGCTGAACCTCTGTGGGGGAGAAATAAGCGCTGCAGGAAGTGGAAAAGGAACATCCTGCCAGCTTTTTGGATGGGATCATAACACGGGATCGGAATGTGCTGAGCTAGGAGGGACCCATCAGGGTCAAATCCCTCACAGGGCAGCCCCACAATCCCACCCTGTGCCCCAGACCACCACCTTGGTTTGTGGCTGGTGGCAGATTTTCAGTTTTAACAAAAATCATTACAAAATTCCTCGTCTTTCCATCATTTCAGATGGGATTCTTGTTCTGAGGTGTGCTGGAAGTTGTGACATTCCTCCAGAAGGGCTCACGTGTGCAGGAGTGTCAGGAATGCCAAGATCCAGATCCCGACGGTGCCGCCAAGACACAGCAGGAGGACAAGGTCGATTTTCAAGAGAAAGAAGAAAACAATATGGGAAGGGCATGTCTGAGACAGAAAACCTGGGCAGGGAGGAGAGAAATCTGTGCTTGGTTTCTTCTGTCAGCAGGAGCTGCCTGTGGATTGGAGTTCTGGGAAGGAATTCCTGCGTTCCGGGTGCTGGAGAGGCCATGTTCCAAGGCAAGGAAAACAGGCAGTGATCAGGAGAGTGGGCCCCAAATTCCTCTCTGCTGTAGGAACCCTGAAAAATGCTGAGAACTGCCCAGGGAGGCCATTGCTGGAGCGCTAAACCACTTAAATCTCTCCAGCAGACATGGATTCCTGGAAAAGTGGGAACCTGGACAGTGGGATTGACGTGGCTGTGGCTGCTCCCAGGCTGGTAGGAATAAAAACTGCTTAACTCACCTTGTAAAAATTTAGTCCCATTGAGTAGAAATTTACTTCCTGTAACACATTTCAAGGCATGGAGTGGCCCCATTGGCATTTCCTGTAAACCCTGATGAAATCTGGGATGAACCACCAAGCTTTCTTCAGCATTTTTATGGTAGAAATCCTTCACAGGGACTCTTTTTGGGATCCCTGAGACTTGGAAATTAATATTATTAGAGTTCTTGAAGAGAACAAGTGTGGGACAGCTACAGCTTCTGCTGCTTAGCTTTGATTAAAGCCTCTTCATGTTTATTTTGGAGAGAATCATGAGGCATTTGGGTGTTGCTAAATATAAGTGGGATGACTCAAAGGGAACGCTGAGGTCCAGATTTGGAGCAATGAATCAGGGAGATGTTTTGAGCACTATCAAACCCCACTTCAGATTCTCCAGATTGCCAGCAAATGTAAACAACAAAACTAAAGAAAACATCTTGTTTGGGGCTGTATTTTTTAGGTGGATGAAGCTTGGAGAGCACCTTGCAGGTATGGGAGGGTTTTAATGCTGCACTCCTTAATAATTCCTATATATGTGACTTTTTTCCCCCCCAAAATTTGGACATTTGCCTGGCTTCTAATAGAGAGGGACTGATATTCAGGTGTTGAACTGAACACTGACCTTTGCCTCCGTCCCTCCACAACTTTGGGCCTTCTAAAGGTGTTTAAACATCTAAAGAAACACATGGACGTAAGTTTGTAAAATTCCGGGATGGTTTGTGTTGGGAGGACCTTGAATCTCCTCCCCACGGGCAGGGACACCTTCCCCCAGACCAGGTAGCTCCAAGCCCCATCCAGCCTGGCCTAAAGTTGTTCAGTTTTGGTGGGTGTTTTGTGTTGAAGGTAGTTTTTATGATCTGAGGTGGTTTGGAAAATCCTGAAGAACATTAATTCCCACATTTAGGCAGGTGGGCACCTCCAGAAATCTCATCCACAGAGAATCTACTATTTTGTAAAGAGGAAGAAAGACTTTAAACCCCAAACCAATCCCACATCAGTTTAATTTCCGGTGTGATGTATGTGATAATCACATAGAAAATTTCAAAGAGTGTTTATTCTAAATCTGAATTTTAAGCCACATTTTTTTCCACTGATTCCATTCTTTTGGCTAAAGCTACAACCTTGTAGCTTTCAGTCCATCTCCAGTTGCATTTCAGAAGTTCATTTCACATGCCAGGTCTATTCCAAACCCAGAAGAAATGAGGGAGCATCAGTGCAGGCACTGAGCCCCACTACAAATCTCCCTCTCCTTTGGACCTGACAAAGACCTGCTTGACTGAGCCTGAAATGCAGCTTCTTGAGCTTTAAAACGCTATCCTTTTTCTCTGGCATTTTGTGGGCACAGAAATATTGATGCAGTTGACCACAAGTGCTAAAGAGAGAAAAATCTGTTTTGTAGTCAGAGCTGAGTGGGTGAATTCACAAGCTGAAGATGCCTCACTCGGGTGGATCCTTTTAAAAAGGAACAGATTTGTAAATGTTAATGTACATATAACTTTGAAGGAGAGAAATTACATGTTGGTTTTGTTAAAAGTCTTTCTATTCGTGGTGCTGCTTAATTAAGGTGAATTTTTTCATTACAAGGGAAAAAAAATCCCTTTACAAAGAGTATGTAGAATATTGGATGGAGTTCATCCTGTACAGAGGGAAGGACTTTAGGATATTGAAGTGAGAAGAATCACTGTTCTAGAGGCCTGAATTTCCCATTTCCTGCCTCTGTCCAGAGTGGCATTCTCCTTTTCCTGTAGCCCTGACAGGCAGGAGGTGCCTTTCTATTTAAAATACATTTCTTTAATTTCTCAAAAAATAATTTCTTTAATTTTTGAAGTGCTGTGTTTCTGCTTTTCCAATGCTGGGCCTAAGACAATTCCTGTCAAATTTCCAAAGGGAACAGAGTGAATCCAAGTGCTTTCCATCACATATGCATCCTGTATTGACTCTGAAGCTGGAAATCCTAATCAAGTAGAGTGCATTATCAAGTCTGATAAATCTCAACAGACCTTCTAATCAATAAAGCCTGCAGCGTGTGCCAGAGCACACAGCCAGGTCAGGAAATACGATTTTCGGGAAAGGCACAAAATTCCTGCACGTTTATTTAGGATGAGTATCTGAGTTATGGCATCACTGCTTTGCAGAAGGGGCTTAAGGTGACTCTGAGCTGAAATTAGTGAGGTTTTAATCCCAATTCAGGGATTGTTCACCAAGAATCCCACAGAATGGAGAAGCAGGTTTTTGGAGGGGCTGTGCTGGCTGGATCAGGTGTGTGTGCCCAGAGGGGATATCCTCGTGCCCCATTCCTCACCTTTCCATGTATTTATCCCTTTGCCAAAGTCCCAGGAAGAGCTGAACCTCACAGACTCAGGGACTGAGAAGCCACTGGTGTCACTTTGCAGCTCAGATGTCACTTTGCTTCAAGCTGAGCAGAGTTTTCCATGCTCTCAGCCCTGATGCTTTTGGCAATCCCTTTATTCCTACTGCTGCTTACACGTCCCAAAGATTGGCCACCTCCAAGGAGCTTTGGGACTGGCTCTGTTTTGGGACTTGGGGGTGTGGGTGGGAGCAGGGGGATGAGCTCCTGCTGTGGGGGACAACAGCCTTTCCATGGAATGCTGATAATCCCAAAGTTGTGAGTTTGATGCCTGGACGGGCCATTCATTTCAGAGCTGGACTTGATCCTTGTGATCCCTCCCAGCTCAGGATATTCCATGGAAGTTGTGTTTTGGCTGCTTTGGGCACACACAGCCCCTGTTCCAAGGGGCTGTAGATGGTATTTAGTGTCCTTGCTGGCTCCATGTGGAAATATTCCTGAGGAGGCAGAGGCTCCTGTGGGTGCAGGGGATGCTCTGCAGCCTTTGGGTGCAGCTCTCACCCCACATCTCTGGGGCAGGTGCAGGAAAAATCTCCTCCTGAACTCGGGATGCGGCAGGAAAAACTATTTTTACTTCTCTCAACTGCACATTTATTAAATTTCCAACCTGAAAAGCTCTCCCCCTGCCAGGATTTCTCTAAAAAAGAAGGATAACGTTGGCA